AAAAAAAATATTAGTGATGTATGATATAAGATTTAACAATTTAACATGATTCGTAAAGTCTGCGTCTATAGACAAAAGAAAATTCCAAAATATAGAAAAATTATACCCGCAAGAGCAATTGTGTAAGACTAGATATACTAAAACATTATAAGATTATTAACACTAACATTATACGATAATGATCAATATGACAGTATCTTTATCATGATTAGGTGACATGTGAAGAATGAAAAAAGATTGAAAGATGGAGTAGGCAGTACGTCACCAACACAAAGCAAGTGGGTGGAGCTAGATATTCTGCAAGCAGGTGTAGCGACAAGCAGTTACTTCTATTTGAGTTAGTGATGCATTGTTATTATAGATTAGTTTAAAGGTCTAAGATAGTGCAAGGAAAAGTTCAGTTTGGGGTGCAATGAATCTGTACATCATGACAATTGCAATCACCAAGGCCTTTCCCTTTCTTATTAGCAAATTTAATTTAAATATGATTGGTGGAGCTGCATCAGCTAATTAAGCTACGTTCTAAGTCAAAAGCATAATCTTTTGGGATCATATTCTTGCTTGGAGGCTTTAACCAAACATTGTTTTCATTTACATTCAATTAATAAAATCCAATTTTCAGTTCAGTTATGGGGTCTTCATTCTAAGTTAAGATAAGGGGAATTGGAGCTTTTCTGGTTCATGTTCACTGGAGGAGAGAAAGGCGTTGGCAAATTTGCTAATATGATAGGTTGCAGTCAAGGGCAAAGACATTTCAGGATTATTCAAATAATAAGAGGAGAAAACTAAGCATCATTAATTGTTGGTATACCAATAACTCTGTTAGAATTACCCAGTTCTAGTATTCAAATAAAATCAATTGTTTTCATTTAGCTAATTTAAACTAATTAGTCCATACCCTTTACCAAAAACACAAATTCCCAGAAAAATTATCCAATAAATTCTCACTCTAAGTCATCAAACTTCAAAAAGATGAGCAAAAACAAAGCTCTAAAACATGATTTACAGTAAGAAATCATTAGTAAACTTGAACAATTAGTCCATACCCTTTACCAACAAGAGATACCGGTAGCCTTCACTTGGAGGAGCAAAACAAAAGCAGGACGGGTATTCACTCTTTGGATAATCTCTGTGAAGCTCTTATCTTGAAAACATAGACGATAAATCGACAATGAGTGAGTGTGTGATGGTGGAGGTGTGATGGACTCAAAATACAATATTCAGTAAAAAGTAAAAACTCACTGATCTGCAATGGTGGAGGTGTGAGAGAGGAGATGTTGACGGCGATGGTGATGGTGATGATGTGAGACAGTGAGAGAGGAGAGTTGTGACGGTGAGAGAGAGGAGATGGCGAGTTGGGACGGTGAGAGAGAGGAGATGGCGAGTGGGCGATGGTAAGAGAAAGGATATCAGAGATGGCGACGGTGGGAATTGGGAATCTGGGATGAGAATGAGATGAGAGTTGAGAGTTAGAGTCGAAGTGATTTAGGGATTTCAAATCTCCTTTTTTTTTTTTTTTTTTTTTTACAACAATAAACGATTGCCCGTGGGTTTACCCGTATAACCCGTCAATAATACGGGTCGGGCTGGGTACGAGTCCAACAAAACAGATTCAATACATTAGACATGTATCCTATATTTTTTACCTAGGTACAGGTCGACCCACGGGTCTGGACCCGTTTTGCCAGGTCTAACAAACATGCGACAAACTAAATGTTGTCGTAATAAAGTAAATGACAAATAAATTTCTATCACTATTAAAATTACGAGCAAATAATTTAGTCACTATTTACAATTATGACAAAATCAATTTTGTCATAATATATTATTTTCTCACCATAAAGCTTATCATTTGTTCTTTAAATATAAATCAATTATGACAAAATATTACTTGTAGTGATAAAAAAATGTCTTCTATTGTTACAAATAATTTATCACAATAAACTAGTTTAAAAGTGACAAATTATTATTGTCACAATAAATAATTAAGCTGTGGTACCAAACACTCTTTCGTCACCATACACTTAAGAGTACGAGCTTAATGTGACCAACCTGGTAACCAATACAATTCGTCACATGAACGAAATGGTCACAATTTTGATATTTATAGTGACAAATTATTTTGTTGTGAGAAGCCGAAATTCTTGTAGTGGTTGTACCATCATAGGGCTTCATATTTGAAAAGGTGAATTTGTGTGACATTTCGGCTAAGGCTATGCTATCCACAAAGGGTGAGTCGGCATAGCTATAAGGTAAGCTTTTCTTGGCTAGAGTTGGTACTCTAGGTATGTGCCTCAGCATGACTTCCATGCTAGCTAGCTTCTTAGCCAATACTTGCTCAAGGGGTGATGCGGTTGATAACATGTCTGCATTGATGGTGTGGTGGTGAAGGTGTTGTCCACTTGGCATGCTAGGATGAGCTGAGTTGACAGGTAAGTTATGGAGGTTATGACCAGCATAGAGAGTTACTTGGGAGTTGGGGTCTCCACTTATCCTTTCTAGAGGAGTGGAGTCGAGTGTAACCGTTCATGTGTTTCGACCAACATGGATGTTGAGGAGGGTAGTTTGAGGGCCACTCGACCTATGAGGATGAGTGGAGTCGAGTGGTGCTTGGTGGGTGTAAAGGTGTCCACTCAATCCATAAGGATGAGCCGAGCCGAGCTGATGGAGCTTGGTGATAGCCTGATAGGGTATGTCACTCACATTCACATGGATGGGGTGGTTGATGGTGATGAATGTTTGTAGTTTCTGGTTTAGGATTATTTGAGCGACTAGATCAAGGGTGAGTGATGGGTCAACTGAGAGGGGTCATGTTTGCATGGCTAGGTCAGATGTGTTTATTGTGTTTGGAGTTGAGCCATCCATTAAGGATTACTAGAGATGGGAAGATTGAAAGTCTGAAGCCCAAGATCTGGGTTTGGGGGGTCATTAGAGGTTGCATGAAGTTCACTAGGATGTGAAAGCAATTCTATGGCACCTGGTTGAATGGGAAATCAAGAAAGTAAATTTGGGTTACCTTTTCTCGTAGTGTTTGGTTCTCAGCCCGAATGTTGCATTCTCAGCTTCTAATGCTGTGACCTTGTCCAAGTGTTGTTGCATTAACACAATAAAAGCCTCAGCCTTAGCTACGAGTGTTGCTGCATTAACACGGTTTGTGCTTTCAGCCATGACATGATTCTTTATAAAGCGGATTGTTGAGGGAAGGTTGATTGTCAGAGGCCCCACGGTGAGCGCCAAACTGTAGATGGTAAAAATCTACGGTTACGAAAAAGGACTGATCCTGTGAGGTTGAGGCCACTGACGATTTACTGAACTTGCACATACAAATAAACAAGCGCAAAGCTTACGTAAAACACCGGTGTGGTGTCTATCGTAGGCATTCCGACGCTCAAGTTAGCAAGGCTGAAAGAGGCTATTTAGTGAGGGCTAAGGGAAGGAAGGGTTGCCAAAATCTGATCGAAGACTAGAGCTACGACGAAGGTGTATAGTTCTTAGGAGCAAGAATTTAAGAGCTAGTAGGTGGTATTGAATAATGGATGCTTAATAAGAGGCAATACCTCTGCTTATATAGTGGACATAGGATCTTCAAATCCTAGTAGAACTCTGAGTCCATAACAGTTGATTTCTAGTAAATAGGAAAGACTTGATTTACTTACCTTCGTAGGAGTAAGAGTCTTAATTCATACAAGATTCAGGATCTTAGATGAATTAGGATGTAGATGAAAATAGGAAGTGGATGAAGTAGGGTTTAAGTAGAACTCTAGGTTCTTGGAATGATCTTAGATAGATGGGCCTGGACCTAAGTGGACTAGTGATGACGCCCAATTGGTGGCAAGGCCTTAATGTTTTGAGAATCTTGTTGGTTAATTGTCTGGTTGGTGAAATGGGCTGGCCCATAATATGGATCTTAGTGTAGGCCCAACCGGAATTAGGCCATGGCCTTGGGACAACATACTGATTGTTCCTTATGAATGATCATTCCTTATGAATGGAACAGTCATTCCTTATGAATGGAACAGTCATGGTCCTTCGTCCCTAAGAAATAATCATTTGTCTCTAAAGAATGGTCATTCATGTTTAGTCAAAATTATCAATTGACGTGATAATGTCAACTCTGCTACCACATTAGGGTTATAAGAGAACATTATAAGATTGAGTTGTAAACGTAGTATTTTTTAATATCAAAATACCATCATTATTTCAAAACCTGAGGGGCAAAGTGGGGAAAACAACATTATTTTGATAGAAAGATATAGTGTGGGAAGTTGGTTAATTATGTAAAACCCCCAAGTTTTGGTCAATTTTTAATTTTTAATATCCCTATTAAAAAATTATAAACAAATTCAATATAAACTTTTTCTTTCTTTCCTTTTTTGTTCTAGAACGTTTAACTTCCGAATTTTATTACAAATCTTCCATACTATTAACTTCTTGAACGAATAAGATCCACTACTTATAGACCATTTAATAATGTTACTCTTAATATGTTAATCCTTGGATTGAAGTACGGCATAACTTTGCACTATACGCCCATAACTTTTTAAACCACAGTTTGCATTTAAAATTGAATCGACTGCGCAAGTGCGCATATTAATGCAAAAAAATTCAATGAGATAAGCGCATTAATATTGTCTAACCACTAAAATTCTTTACTTATTTATATACTTTCATAATTTAACTAATAATTTGCTAGTTCGGCGCTAAGAATTATTTATGAATTCATTAACTACTGTTGATTATTTCGTTAATGGTGCAAGCCAGGTCTGCATGGATGAGTATAGAGCTGGCAATGGCGTAGTTTTTTCAAAGGAGAGGAGACTAATCACTACTCCATTAATTATAAAGGTTTCACGGGATCTTGTTTTGTGTGGCTAAGACTTTTACTTAACGTTACACCAATCATATATCACCAAAAGTATAAACCTCAATAGTAATCACGTGAACCATTTACCGGTTCTTATACATTCTTGTTCTCTTCAGTTTGATGGTGCTATCCGCAAATGGGTTTGGTCTATCTTTTACTTTTACTGAGTTTGAACTGCGTTCATGGCGGTGGTATTCCTACAACACTTGAAGGACCCTTCAAGCCAGTCACTGCCCCTCTTGACAAGAGCTTCAGTGGAAACGTCACTGACTTGCCTGATGTTCCAAGCAATGTTGAAGGTTTTCAGCCTCAGCAAATCTTTGTTTCACTCTCTAATAACTACGATTCTGTTTGGATTTCTTGGATCACAGGTCTCTTTCTTTGCTTCTTTCATTCCTTGTTTATATAATTTCCTTGATTATGCTAGAATTCATGGCTCAATAGATCATGAAGTTTTGTTTAGTTTCGCTTTGAGTGCCTTGTATATTACTAAAATGATGGGTTACAGTTTGAAATTTCCGGCTCATTTGATACTGAAATATGTAAACGTGAAGTTGCATTGATAGAAACCCAGTAATGTTCCTGAGGTTCTTTTTAGTTTGAAGTTCTGCTACATAAGCAAATAAGCAACTGACATGCTAGAAAAAGAAGTGATCCAAGTGGTGACTGATCATGTGTTAAAGTAAATTTTGGGGAGGTGGTTAAAGTTGAAAAACAAAATTTAAAAATTGGGTCTGGTTTCAGAGTTTACTGTAAATTGAGGCATCCTTGGTTTAATATACTGTTGTTAATTTAGTGAAACAGTACTTGGACGGATAAGAAAGGATTTTCAGTCCTTGAATTACTCTAGAAGTAGTGTGATTGTCTATTGCTTATTTTTTATTTTAGAACTTTGTCATTTTAACTGTAAGTGTGAGTGAAGAAGTTGATTAGGTTTGAAGAAGTTGTCTTGATTCAGTGATTTTAAGTTATTCAATCTGAAAGAATATTGATAACCACATACCCTCTTATTTTAATTGTGTTAAGAAATGGGCATGATTAATGGAGCCTTTGTGAAAGGACTTCAGTTAGCCTTTATTTAATGTTGATGAATTCTATGTAACTTCTTTTTTCAGCCTGGTAATTGATATTATATGGACTAAATTTTCAGGGGAATTCCAAATTGGTTATGATATACAACCATTAGATCCTGAATGGGTACAAAGCATTGTTCAATTCAGAGTCTTAAGATCACAAGTGACTTATCAGGCAAAGGGTTACTCCCTTGTTTACAGTCAAATTTATCCGTACGATGACCTCCAGAAGTACACTTCTGGTATTATACACCACGTTCTTCTCACAGGTATAATCTGATTTCGATTGATATATTTCAGTCTACAGCTATAAAATTTCATCGGTTTGATCATAAGATGTTTATATATTAAATTATTGAATTTGTTTTCAGGAACACGAATTCATGCTAATATTTTACTTCCTCCTTGCCTCTCATAGTTAATTTCAAGATAATCATGCATAAACTACAGTTTGAAAGTGAGTAAGTAAAATGAGTGATGATCGATTGTTGTGTGTGTGGAGTCCCGGGAATAGAAGGGTTATGCTCTGACTCATCTATTTTGATTTTTTCTAGTTAATTTCAGATTGCAATCATCTTTTGCTACAGGTTTGGAGCCCAACACACTGTATGAATATGAATGTGGGGATCCTTCTATATCAGTAATGAGTGATAGCCATTATTTTAGGACTATGCCGGTTTCTAATGCCAGCAGCTACCCCAGCAGAATAGCAGTGGTGGGAGATCTGGGTCTTACCTACAATACGACAACAACAGTCAGTCACTTGTTGAGTAACCATCCTGCTCTTCTTTTGTTGATTGGGGATCTAAGTTATGCAGACCTGTATTTTACGAATGGAACCAACTCATTTCTGCAAAATCCCTTCCGAGAAACATATCAGCCTCGTTGGGATTATTGGGGAAGGTAAAATCACTATTGTTAATACTCTATAAAGTGTTTTCATGCTTTTTCATTTGATCTAGAGCTGTAAGCATCAACAAATTCTCAAGCATAATTCCATTAGTTGTAAAAGAGTTGAAAAGGCAAAAACCAAATAACTTGTTAGAAACTGCTGTCAACAAGATTACAACTTTCACTCAGTGCTTTTAGTTCAGTTTGATCTTGTCATATCCTTTGGATTTGTGAATGATTCCCAGACCAACGTCAGGAATAATTAAGCTAATGGACTCCTTGTGGGGTTGGTGTTTGCAGGTTTATGCAGCCTCTAGTCTCTAATGTTCCAACAATGGTGATTGAAGGGGAACATGAGATAGAACAACAGGCTGATAATTATGCATTTGTAGCATACAGTTACCGGTTTGCATTTCCCTATAAAGAAGGTGGATCATCATCCGCACTCTACTATTCTTTCAATTCAGGCGGTATCCATTTTGTGATGCTAGGTGCTTTCGTTAATTATGACAAATCATGTACGCTCTGCCTTCTTTCCTCTATTTTCCTTGACTTTTTATTATTCATAATCATTTTTTCTTGGCTTATGGAGCCAATTCTTCTTGGCGAGTAATATTACCATTCCTCCATTAAAGATATTCTTTTGGCTGATCATGTTCAGTTACCACATGGTGAGATTCTCCGGTTTCTGTTGCAGCGGATCAATACAATTGGCTGGAAAGAGACTTGGCAGAGGTCGATAGAAAAGTGACTCCATGGCTTGTTGCTGCCTGGCACCGTCCTTGGTATAGCACCTATGTAGCACAATACAGAGAAGCAGAGTGTATGAGAGTGGAGATGGAGGAGTTGCTTTATCATAGTGGTGTTGACATAGTCTTCAATGGACATGTAAGAGTACTTTTGAAACTCTTCTAAGCTCTCTGTTGCAAAATACACTCCTTTCCCCACCCCTGAAACTGTTATTGAATGATATAGTTTGTTATTCTGTATTTTCAGTAAAAGATTAATGCTTGTCTCATTGTTAAGTGTTCAATACCAAATTTGTGAACATGAAAAATAAATGGTTTCTTTCTGCCAGAAATCTTGACAGTGGAAGAAAAAGTTTATAGAGAAAACTCGTTTTCTTTTTCTTACTGTTATTTCTTCATTTCTATTTCCGAAGTAGGCACAATGTTAGCCATTCATTAGTCCAGATATTGGTAATAAAGATAAATCAAAAGACTTGAAAATATGATGCATAGGAGACAGAACTCATTTGCAAGGATTTATTTCAATATGAACAAAAATAGCTTTAGGTTATGGAGCGAGGTTTTATATGGTAACATGTATTGTATATTCTAAGTTCTGGCATTCATGCTATGGCTTATCAAAAAGTAAAAGTACATAAATGAGGTGATAATAACATACAGGTTCATGCTTATGAGAGGTCAAACCGGGTCTACAATTACTCCTTGGATCCATGTGGTCCAGTTTATATCACGGTTGGTGATGGAGGGAATGTAGAAGGCCTGGATGTTGAGCATGCTGATGAACCTGGTAACTGTCCAGATCCAGCATCGACCGCAGATAAATATTTGGGTGGTTTCTGTGCATTCAATTTCACTTCAGGCCCTGCATCAGGGAAGTTCTGCTGGGACCAACAGCCAGATTATAGTGCATACAGAGAAAGTAGCTTTGGCCATGGGATTCTGGAGGTATTTTTCTCTCTTATCACACTCAGAAAATTTAGATCATAGTCTTCCACAGCTAGTGAATAAATGCATAAAAATTTATTACACTTAAAATCTAAATATATTAAAATGTGCAGATTGTTGATGTCAAACAGCAAACTTATCGGCATTACTGTGGCTTGCAGGTGAAGAATGAGACTCATGCTTTGTGGACTTGGCACCGCAATCAGGAGTACTACGAGAATGCTGGTGATATAATTTATATAGTAAGGGAACCAAATAGATGCCCAGTTTCACCAAAATAATCAATACCACCATAATCAGCTGAAACACTCAACTTCTGACAAAATATTTTCATTGTGACTTGAAGATGCAAACATGATCACCTTATCAGGAGTACCAAGGAGCCTTCACACATGGGATCATATTATTGTAGTTACAACATTTGAGACAATAGGCTATTGATAATACTTTGCATTACATGATGAATAAAATTGATTGATTCCAAATATGAAGGCTGATTTTAGTATGTGCTTGTGATAATAGATGTTGTAAGCTGTGAGTAATTTTACGAGTTTAAAAATGCTTTAGCCAGTTTCTTTAAACTGGTGTGTAACTGTAAGGCCATTTCTTTAACCAAAATATTTTAGTAATTTTTCGGTATGAATGAGGGTGTAAAACATAAAAGCGGAGTGTCAAAAAAATAAACAATCAAAAGCAAGTTTAATAATTTAGTATAGAATTAAAGTTGTGATTATTAAAATCATTAAATAGTGGGATTTCTTTACCCCAATTATAGGATGCAAATAAGGCCTCTCTTTGTACTTTCCTTCTTTTATAATTCTCTTTACAATTGGGCTCGGACCCCTACTTTCTTGGCCTACATAATTCAAACCCAGATTTTGCTCCTACATGAATGATGAACCTGAATCCTATTAACACCATGCATAACTTATGAATTTCAGAATTTGATTATTGTCCTTTATTTAGCATTAGTCTCTTGGTGAATTAAATCAAAGTTATATTGGATAGCCTTTTTAACATATAGACTAGTTCAACCAACCCTTGGGTGTATTACTCAAGAGGTCTTGAGTTTGATTCCTTTCAATTGCTAATAAGGATATCCACCAGAGGATTACCTAGTAGTTAACTTTAGGACTCCGGACGATTGTTGAAGTGCGTACAAAGACTTAGGTATCCTCAGTTACCAAAAAAAAAAGCCATAAGAGGATTACTTAGTCGTTAACTTTAAAGCCTTAGAGGATTAGTTGAGGTGTGTGCAAGCTAACTCGGACACCTCTACCCAAAAAAAAAAAAAAAAAAACCATATAGATTAGTTCTCGCCGTATAATTATTTAAATATAATTGTATACATTATAGTCCCTTAGAAATTGAAAATTAAAGTTCCACAAACTTTGTTGATTAATTTGTTGGAATTCGGAGATTTTATATGAATATACAGGATTGTATTATCGATGGGTGTTACCCAAAGATGAAGATGCACAAAAGGCAAAGGCTAGAGGATTATTCTCCCAACAATTATTCCATGTTGATGACAAGGTTGCAACTCAATCCACAGACAGTTTCGGTTGATTGGTTAGGCCACTTTGACTGTAATTAATGTGAGAAAGAAACGAGTTTAATAGAGAAGCAATTAGATGACAATTATAAAGGATTTTATTTTTATATATATAAATTTAATCGGGTATATTTAAAAGAAAAGACATATATAGTTTATTATAAGAGAAAGTCTATAGTACAGTATTTTAAAACCTGGCATGCTCTGGCTGGTTTAATCAGGATCCAGAAGCTTCATCGGGTTGGGTTACTAATTTTCATATTTACCTAAAATACTAGAATTTAGGATGATGATCAACCAACAATTGAAAGTTGGGATATTTGGGTTCTTAAAGAGAAAGTGTCAATGAGTACAATAATGATGACGAAGTTGATTATCGATGAATGAATTGACTGAAAATTAAAAAAAAAAAAAAATCAAGTAGTGGTAACAACCGACTTTTGCCCGTGATTGGCTATTTTAACTATTTCTAACACCACACGTTATTGTTAGAAATACAATTCTTTTTAACTATTTTAAACTCCTCGTACGAGCTAGGAGAGATAAAAGGTACTTATGCAATTTAACTTCTCGTAAGGGGCATTTATGACATAACAGACAAAAGCAAAAAAAAAAAAAAAAAAATTCACATGCTTTACTATTTGAGGTTATAAATACTCACTAACACTTCGTCTAAGATATTATTTGAAAAATGAAAGCGCAAATAAACATCTCATCCAATATTTTGCTTAACATCTGCAAACACCCAATAATACATCATCCTTTGTATCAGTAAGAAGACGCTCAATAATGGCTCAAGAAATGAAACAGTCTGCCATTCTTTTGACCTCGTTAACGAAATTTTTATTCTTTCTCAGCTCTTCCCAATTGCGACATGCGAATCAAGGCTCATCCTCTCGAATGAATCAAAACTGAACAAATGGCTTGACTATAACATCGAAAAATTCAAGGAAGGGAATGGTAAGTTAAACCAAACAGGGTATAAGCTAAATCAGATGGAATCCAACTTGGACGGAGCTTTGTCCACGGCAGAGGCTGGTGTTAAGGTTATAAATGTCAAGAAAGATGTAGCGGAAATTTTCGAACGATGAGTGATGCAATAAACAGCATTCCGATGTCGAATGCAAATAGAGTGGTTATTAAAATTGGTGGAGCCTCGTATTGGGAGAAGATCACTATTGACAGGTCAAAGCAATTAATAACATTTTATGGGGACCCAAATGACAGGCCGAAGATTTGTTTCGATGGGACAGCGGCTCAGTATTGCACGGTGTACAGTTCTACAATGGCTGTAGAGAGTGATTATTTTGTGGCTGTTAATATTGAATTTGGGGTACGTACCTTTGCTTTTATTATACGTACTCTATTTCACAGTTTCAAAACTTAGCGACAATGTATGAATTATATTTTAGGACTTTAACCTTTTTTCTTTCTTTTGAATATCTTAATGAGACAAGTTGCCATGTTTGCAACCATAACTTACAAAGAGTAGGCGATATAAGCTGAAGTGCATTTGCTAAATTTTAGAGTTCACTAGTAACTACACCTTCATCACTCTATTGTGAATATCTTAAACTTTGTTCTTTGTGTGACCTTTTCTTGTAGAATACGGCTCCAATGCCAGATGGAAAAAGAGAGGGTGCACAAGCAGTCGCCATGAGAATATCTGGAGATAAGGCAGCATTCTACAATTGCAATTTTACAGGTTATCAAGACACACTGTGTGATGATAAAGGCAAACATTTCTTTAAGGACTGTTACATCCAAGGCACCGTTGATTTCATTTTTGGAAATGGCCAATCCCTTTACTTGGTACTTTCACACTGCTCACTATTATTACACTGAGTTATTTTAAAATGTATAGTATGAAACATAAACTTAAGAGATGAAAAAGAAAAAAATATATATATAATTTTTTAAGTAAAGAACATTTTAAGTAATAAAGGAAACAGAGTCTAGGATCTAGCTAGTTAACCGTATCTACAACAGTAAAATGCTTGCACATCAACATATACAAGAAATCACGTTAATCATTTTTGCTACAATTGGAAGCTTAAAACTGGGATGTCGATGCAGGACACCACTATAAGATCAGTTTCAATTGGCATTGGAGTCATCACAGCACACGCTATAGAAAACGAGAGTGAAGAAAGTGGATTCACATTTGTCCATTGTAGCATAATCGATATTGGTAAAACAAAACTTGGTCGAGCGTGGAAGCAGAGACCTAGGGTGATTTTCGCTCGCACATATGTGGACACTGTTGTCAGCAGTACTGAAGGATGGTCTGTTGACATGGGTGACGGTGAGCACAAGTATTCACCTTGATCACCCTTTCCCTTAAAGTTAACAATGATATAAATTCTTGACAACCTAGTGATAAACTATCTTTCTTTTTTGAAAATTTTTGCAGACCTGTTTATTATAGAGAGTACAAGTGTTGGGGACCCAGGCCAAGTTCTTCTTGTCGAGCCAAATTTGCTAGGATGCTATCTGATGAAGAGGCGCAACCGTTTCTGAGCACAACTTTCCTCGATGGAAACAGCTGGATTCTTCCGCCTCCTAAGATGTTGTCGATGCTTGATTTTGACATTAACGACTCGTACGTGCAAAGTACTAAGAGAGTCTTAGAAGTTACACATGATGGATTCATGAGATTCGAATATAGTGCTGAGATTATATATGTTGCAAAAAACATAAACAATAGATAGACAAGAGAGGTTTTTATAGTGGTTCGGATGCTTAATGCAAATCCTACATCCACTGTTATTTTATTATTCTTTGACTATTTCTATGATATTGCTCGTAAGGCATACAAAGATGAAGAAATACTTTGCTTACAAAAAGAAATAATAAAGTTCAAATCTATGCCTAGCTCTCATATGTCCAACCCCCTCTTTTAAGAATGGATGTGCCAATTTATATGCCTTTGAGGTCAATGTAATGAATGTTTTCGTAAGTTGCCTTAACACATGGAGAACTCTCATTCGTCCTTATCTTAAAATGAGATAGGATTGGTATAAAATATCTCTGAGGCGATATGTTTTGAACAACTAGTACACTTTTCTTTAGGGACTTGTTGAGCTGACATCAACGTGATTTTTTAGGCACAACAGAACACCCACACCCCCCGCCCCCCCCCCCCCCCCCCCCCCCCCCCCCCCCCCCCCCCCCAAGTTTTTAGAGTATGTAATTGCACTTCAAAAACTCATGTCTTATATCTGAATGGCTGTCACATTATAGGTTACAGTCTCGAACTAAAGAGCTTGAACTATGTCTGGCGCAATCGGGTGTTGAGAGCTAGGACTGCGATTTGAGAGCTTGGAGCGATCCGAAGCTGAGCGCGATCTGATAACTGATATGAAATGTCCAATAGATGAATTCCTGGGGGCAGCTAACGTCGGAAGCCCAAACACACGGCTTAGAGGCCTTAAACGGATAAACCAATTTAAAACAATCATAACTTTTGATCCGGGAGGAGTTTTGGAACCCGTAAGATATCCACAGAAAGCTTGTTCTGAGCTCTATGTCGTGGCAATATGGGAACCCGGTTGAGGCCATTTTCGGCATGTTTCAAGGCTGTTTTGAGTAGGTCATTTTTGGCATGTTGCAAGGCTGTTTTGCTGTTTTGAGTTTTCTACTTGTTTTTTTTTTACGCTGGCAGATGGTCACGATCTGATAACTGAGAACTGATCGCAATCTGAGAGCTGAGAACACAACCTGAGGTTGTTCGCAATCTCAAAGCGAAGAGTTGATCGCGATTTGAAAGCTAGGAGCTGATCGCGATCTGATAGAAGCTCGACCTGAGAGTCTGAGGCATGTGATCTGAACGATCTGGTGCACGTAATCTTAAGCAAACGAGTGAGCTTATGAGCTTAATCAGAAAGCATAAAGAGCTAGATCAGAGAGTATAAGGAGCTCGATCAGAGAGC